TCAAAATTTAAGGAAGACACCAACAGACTACAATATAGTTACCTATTTTGTGTGTTCTTAAGTCATTCCTTGCAGACACATCGAGTAAATTTTGCCCTAGGTTTATACTAGGGTTTGGTTAACCAGGTTCACCAAGCACTCTTGAGCAGGGGTGGGATTCAGCCGTTTCGGGCGAACCAGAAGTGACAGCCGGTGGCTGGGCCCGTCCACCTGCCCCGGGGCTATCCCGTCTTATACAATTGCCATGTTTTTGATGCAGACTGTATGTGTGCAAGGCGCACACGTGAGTGAAGCTATCCAGGCCTATACGATCACCGTGTTTTTGACGCAGCACGCATGTGCGCACGGCACACGCACGAGCGAAGTGAGCTAACATTTTCAGTTCTGAGCGAACCGATTGTTAAATTATGTGAAGCCCACCTCTGCTCTTGAGAATTGCTTGGTGAAACTTGTAATGATTATAGTAACCTTCTTCATTCAGAACTCCTCCGAATTCCATCTACCAGCAAGTGTCGGCTGGCAACTCCTCAGGGGAGGGCCTTCTCTGTGGCTGCTCCGGCCCTTTGGAACGATCTCCCCGTTGAGATCAGGACCCTCACCACTCTTCCGGCTTTCCGCAAAGCCACTAAGACCTGGTTGTTCCGGCAGGCCTGGGGCTGAAGAATCTTCCGGCCCCATTCGAATGTTGCGACTGTTGTTATATTTTAATTTGTTTGTCTGTAATTGTTGTTATTTGTACCCCTTCCCCCATGGTTGTTCTCCGCCCTGAGTCTCTCGGGAATAGGGCGGCATACAAGTTGAATAAACCTAACCTAATCAGTGGAACAACTTGCCTCCTTAAGTTGTGAATGCTCTAACATTGGAAGTTTTTAAGAAGAGATTGGACAAATCTCTTTTGTATTGTATAGGGTTTCCTGCCTGAGCAAGGGGTTGGACAAAAAGACCTTCGAGATCATTTACAACACTGTTATTCTGTATTCTATTCTGTATTTATTGGTTAAGCACAAGATAATGACTTTGTAATCTTAGTACAAATACTGGCATTAAATTGGACCCTCAAATATAATTTGTTTAGAAAGAGGAGAGCATCCATTAGTCCAGCAAAAGAGGATGGAAAAGATCAATGCAGCTGGACTTTTGAACAGAACAATGGAATTACACTGTCAGTGTTGAGGTTATGAACTAGGAAGTCCCCAGCTGACTTTCCATCTTGGTCACGCGTAAATATGCTTGACTTTAGGCAAAGAGTATTTTCCTGAGGTTTGCCTCTGTGGTGAAGATACAGAAATGTATACAGTTCAGTGTAAGATAATTTGGGAGGCAAATTATCCCTTTTCTCTCTCTTTTTATGCTTAGGTATTAGTCAACAATAACTTCATTTCAGAAGAGCCATTAAAGATAATAAGCAGAAAAAAATTCCCATCTTGACAGAAGAAGAGAATGATAAGTTCATAACTGAAAAAGAAGAACATTGTGGTTGAAACCATCATTCAAACAAACGGAAAAGAAATAAAGCACTGGTTAAAGATGAATTACAGAACACCCACTGTAAGCAATCTGTACCTCAGTGGCACTACCAGGCCTGAGACAGACCATGGGACAACTGTTGATGAGACTGGATCAGAAACTGTTGCAATGACACCTGAACCCAGCAGCTTTATCAGCACCAAAATTCCAGATGTGGTCAGCAATGGCCCAGTCATGGAGACCATGCTGTTGTCCTTTGGCATCATTACTGTTATTGGGTTGGCAGTAGCAGTGGTAAGATTTGAGACTATGTTTGGGAAAGTAACTACCAAATTGTATGCCGATTGAGCTTAACCTCTTGAGTTTAAGGTTGCAAAAAAATTCCTGTAGAAGGAATCTGGTCCTTGATTTAACAAAGAATTGTAGTCCCTTTGCAACAATTGTTAAACTAATACATGATTTAGATCAGTTCCCCAAGCTTTTTGGTTTTGTAGACTAGCAAGGGGAGGAGACAGGATGTTTCCACATAAGCGGCTGGCAAGCAAGTGCGTGGGGGGGCCGCTTCTCACACAAATGGAGCATATGTGCACGAACTTGTTCACCGCTTGTGCTAGTGGGAATGCATGTGGTCCTGCGCCTATTCATCTGCCACTTCTATGGCCTGATTCCGAATGGCCCAAGACCCAGTAGTGGGTCGGGGCCCATAGGTAGGGGAGCCCTGATTTAGATAAACAGATATAGCCATAAACAGATGTACAGATCATTTAAAGACTTGCTTTCATTTGTATTCTCCTACTCTGGATTGACTAGGTGGTCTCTGCTTATATCCTTGTCAATAAAACCTGTGAAAAGAGGCAGAGACTTTCTTGCAGTGGCTCCATTTTAAGAAAGGTTATGTTAGATTGTGTCCCTCTGGTTTGATTTATTTTACAGTCTTAATTTGAAGGTGCCCGTGATTCAATACAGATGTTTTCCTCGGTTGTTTTAGATTGCTATAATTATATCTTGTAACTGTTGTGAAAAAGCCTATTTGGAAAAGCAGTAAAATTTTGTTAAATGATTTTAGCTGTTCAGTAGAATACACTTATGCTAAGATTCCAAATAATTCCTTCACTCTCATTAAGAATAAGAACTGGGTGACAGCAACATTCTTCCCAGTATGCAGGTCCACCATACATGATTACACCTCAAATTAATTGCATTAAAGTGAGCCAGATGTATTCAGTGTGAGTAAGACCCAAGTTCTAGTCCCTTGTCCAACACAGATACCCACTGGGCGACTTTGGCCAATCATTCTTTCTCAGCCATCCTACTTTACAAAGTTGCTGTAGTACAGGAAGGCTGATATAAATCTAATAAACCAATTCATGTGTTTTCCCAAATCTTATTGCTTGTTTCATAAATTTGTGCACGTGCGTTTGTTACTTTTATATTCTATTTTTCTGTTCAAGAGCAAAAAGCAACATATATAATCCTTCCCCCCCAACAACATTTTGAGCTGCATTGTGCTGAGAGACAGTGATTGACTCAAAGTCACCCCGTGACCTGCCATGGCTAAGGGCATGTGAGATCCAAAGTTGTAGTTGTGTAACAACTACACAACTTCTCCCGTTTCAAGTACATATTATAATTATTCAATGCAAAGGATCCCCCTGAAAAATTGCTTATGACACTAACGTTTTTCTAATTTCCCCCCCACCCCACCCCTAGGTTTTGTATATTCGGAAGAGGAAACGGTAAGTGTTCTGTACATATGTGTTAAACAGTTTCTTTATCTCTTGCTAGTGTTTGTTTGGCAGAAACTCCCTCCAAAAACTTCACATTTGAAACAGCAGAGATTGTTTTTCTCTTCCCAAGTTTAAAAGTAACAATGCATTGATATATGCATATGATATAGGGTTTTTGCTCAGGAGATTTGGTTCCTAAATAGTTACCAAGTAAAACCTGGAAAGTTTAGATTTTCTCTTGGTATTATGCTTCATGTAACGAAACTCTCTCTCTCTCTCTCTCTCTCTCTCTCTCTCCTCCCTATTTCCTGAGTAGACTGGAAAAATTACGACACCAGCTCATGCCCATGTACAATTTTGATCCTGCAGAAGAACAAGATGAGCTAGAGCAAGAACTGCTGGAGCATGGCAGAGACGCTGCTTCTGTTCAGGCTGCCCAAAGCAAGGTAATACATTTTTTCCCCATTAATAAAACCTCTAAGGCAGTGATGGCGAACCTATGGCACACGTGCCCAAAGTGGCATGCGAAGCCATGTCTCCTGGCACATTCAGCCTTGTCTGTCTCCCGTGTTTCTGGTGTGCATGTGCATGCAGTGGACAACTATCCTTTGCGCGCATGGCAGTGCCAAAAACTAGTATATGCATGCGTGCCGGCCAGCTGATTGTCAGGTTTGCATGTGAGCCAGAACCCGGAAGTTCGACTTTTCCAGAGCACGATCCTTTCATGTGTGCAACAGTGCCAAAAACCAGCCTGTGCATGCAAGCTGGCCAATTAATCGTTGGGTGCGCATGTGCGCTAGAATCCAGAAGTTTGGCTTTTCTGGAGCGCAACCCCAATGAGCATGAGCACGTGATGTTTCTGTGTGACTTTTTCAGACCTTGGTGCCGAAAGGTTTGCCATCACTGCTATAAGGCAATTTCTCCTACTCTCAAATCTGGAGATTTGCGTGTGGCCCCAAAGATTGCCAAAATCAAAACCTATACACCTAGAAGACTAGTTTGAGAGGATACTTGTGGGCTAGATGATAGTGAGAGTCTCTCTGCTGGACTTGAAGCTATAGCTATTCTCATATTGCCAGTTTTAGAATTAGATTCTTTTTCTAAATTAAAATATGAAATATAGTAATAGAATCTGAATAATTGATCTCTCACTTACAAACTTTGAAACGTTTGTGTTTCAAGGTACTTGTTTCATTCAGTGGATCTATTTTCCTGAGGGCAGAAGAAATGTGGAGAGGTCCTACTCATCACACACAACCATTATACTTTGAAGGGTGGATATCCTGGGAAGTTTTGGGTATATTAGGACTGTTCAGGGCCAGAATGTGAGAGGGTTTACTGCCTAATTCTGACAGAAATGAAAAGTAACAGAAAGACAGAAGCTCAGTTAATTTCCATTAGAACATGTATGATAAACATCCAGATGTTGCTGAACCCCAATTTCCAGGAGATCTCTCTGGTGTGACCAAGCTATGAGATGCTAAGAGTTGAAGATCTACAACATATTGAGGGCCATAGATTCCTCAGTGGTCCCAAAGAGCAAATATTGGAGGACTACACTGTGGAACAAAAGGTTGCCTTGAGTAGCCTTGGAGTCAAAAACAACTGCTCCCTGATATTTAATGTGAAATGCTGTTGGGATATAAAGGGATTGAGTCCTGTTCCTATTGGTATCCTAAAAGAAGAATGAAGATAAGAGAACAGAGCTGCACCTCATTAGGAAATAGATAATAGTTTATTATAATATATAAATATATAATGAATAATACAGATATCAGTGTTGCCTGAGTTCCCTTCGGGGGAAAAGGGCAGCATATAAATATAATAAAATCAAATCAAATCAGATTCTGGGACCTCCTCTATAGAGAGTCATACTATAATGTAAATAGGTCTTCTTCTGGAAGTCTATGTGTAACATTCTTGCTCCCCCTCTTTATTTCCCTTCCTTATCCTTTTCTAAAGCTCTAAAACATTTAGAGCTTTGTTTACAGAAAACATTCAGTTACTGATTCATATAAATATATGAAATTAAAATAGTTATCAATAGCTCCTTAACATTTGTTAGAATGATTCCTTCTTGCTAAAGATACTGAAGATGAGTTGCAAGTTGTTTTTTATTACTACGGGGAGTCCTCGGGTTACAATGGCAATTGGGATACTATCTAAGTGATATGGTTGTAAAGTGTGACATCGCATGATCTCATTGTTTGCCGATGACGATCCTGGAAATCCCAGTTGCTATCATAATACTAGGACTATGAGGATCATTAAGCAAAGACCTCTCGTGACCACAATATGGGAAGAAGAAGCAATCCCAGAGAAGCAGGCCAGCAGGTGAGAATTAACAAATAGGGGGTGAGTAGGACAGGTGGATGTTGCTGGGAGGAATTAGAACATGGGTAGCTGGGTGGGTGGTTGCTGTGGGCAGGTGCTACAGAATGCAGGTGGGTGGATGGGTGAGTGCTGTGGGCAGGTACTAAAGAGCATACCTGTGTAAGCGCTTCTCATTTAGCGTTGTTGTAATTGAACGGTCACTGAACAAGTGGTCATAACTTGAGAAATATCTCTAGTTACATAATGCTAAAATGCATCTTTATAAAAATATAGCATACACTTTTGTCAACAGGATTTTTATTCCCATGTTTTATTTCTTTAAATCCAGTAGTGGCGTGTTTATTAATGTGTAATACTTTGCAATTTTGGGAGAATGGCATGAAAATGAAATAAATGCATTTCTTACAAATCTGTTTCTCTCTCCCTCCCCATTTTTTTTTTGCTCTTGTTGTAGGCAAATCAAGGTGTTCTCCAGAGACCCAGTCGTCTTGTGTTCACAGATGTTGCGAATGCCATCAGTGCATGAAGAATACAGGAAGATGACACCAGCCAGTTAGCAAGCTACTGTGGGTAGTGATTATCAATTCTCGTTGGGGGAAAGAGCCCAAGAACCAAGACTGCCAGTGCTCCTTTGCCAAGAAACTGCCCCATGCTGCAGAGTTTGATTGGCAATGTTGCAGGTACCAAGTAATGTATGATAGAAGATGAGAGGTTATTTATAGATACAATGATTGGAACGAATATAGTAACAGGCTTTGGAAATAATAGCATCAATTCCTAAGGCCTTCCTTCCCTGAGATATTGACAAAGGTATCTAGAGTTTGAGACTGCAGATTCAGCTAGGGCCATACTATGCAGTAGACCCAAAATATGATCCTGTTGGTTTAACTCCTAGGAACCTGGAATGTATGAAGTTGTCAACATATATTGGTGTCATCCCATCTCATTTTCTCTGGTGCAGTAAAAGCTGCCCTTCAGTATAATCATAAGAGTTAGCTGTTGTCTTTCCATTAGATTTCTACAATGTAAGGTGTTCTACTAGCTGGTTTTTGAGGAGGGATAACCTGGAATGAAGGTACTGCTAATAGTAACCTCTGTGTCTTACAGAGGAGGGAAACCTCACAGGGCATAATGATCACCTCTTCTAACACTAATTCTTATTATAGGGGAAGAATCTTAGAAATAAGAACAATGAAGCTAACTTGTAAATCTTGAGATGATTCACTCCAGTCAGTATTGGCTGAAATGAAATTTAAAAAAAAGAAAGAAAAATGAAGTTGTATTTGGAAAAATAGTGTTATATATATGCATGTTCTTGCATATATTAAATAATCAGAAATCCCCACATCTCCATATTGAATGGGATAATAACTCATTTGAACTCCATGGGAAAGTCTCAACACTTTTTAACCTTGAAATAAGAGCAGTTCTAAATGGAGATAATGCACATTTTACAATTTAAGGGAAAAATGCATCTGCCTACCTAGCTTATTTGTTTATTAGATAAACTGGGATACCATCCCTATGGCTAAGACCATTTTGCTTATCCCATTGGCAGCTGGGTAGAGTGCCGAGTTTCTTATTTATTAAGCTAATTTATTTTCTTCCAGTCACTAAAAATGAATATTTATTTATTTACTTTATTTATTTCAGTTCAGTAGCTGCCCAGCTCAACAAGGGACTCTGGGCAGTGTACTATTTACAAGAGATTTGGGCACAGAATTTGGATTTTGTTTTGTTCCAGTTTGGAAATGAGAGGCAGGGGGATTTGGGAATTCCAGTTGTTCCAGTTTGGAAATGAGAGGCAGGGGGATTTGGGAATTGGGTGCAAGGAAGAAAGGACAGCAAACGATAATTGCACAGATGCCAAGAGGCCTGTGCTAAGCAAAGGCCCTTGTTTAAAAAAAAGCTTTGCATTTTTAAAAATGGATTAGTGAAAACAATTGGGAACAAGTTTTATTTACATTTATCTATCCCCCCCGCCCCATGATGGCACAGATCCTCAGGAACCTGCAAGAGCAGCCAGTATCTGTGTTATACTTTGTCTTGTGGCATGGTGGCGACTCTGTCTGTTTCTGGAGCTGCCACTTATATTTACGTTTACATTGGATTTCTATCCTGTCTTTCTATTGCTTTGTCCAGGAAGGCAAACAAAAAAGAGCCATTACAATAAAGGGCTAAAACAAATCAATAAAAAGAAAGGGAGAAAAAAAAAATCTGGGACACAAAAGAAATCACTGTAGAGAAAATAATTCCTGATGAAAAATTGGAAGGCTGGGTGAACAGTTACAGCCTAATTATGTGTTCTGTGTACAAAAAAAAACCCAAACAAAATTTCAATTCTAGCAAGTCAACTTCCCCTCCTGTTAACCATCCCTGCTGTGAAAACTAATGTTAAATATCTATGCATGTTTATCTATTGTAGTTTCAGTGCAACGGAGATGGGGGAAGGAGAGCTCATTCCCCCTCTCCCTCTTGCAAAGAATCAGATCACGGATGCTGCTTCGGAGTGTCTTGTCTTTCAGAGCTCGGGCAGGGGTTATATGCATGACATAAATCCATTTGCTTTGGCAGTCGCTAAAAGAAACCACCTGGTGAAGAATCAGTAAGGATAACAGGCCACAATAATGCGTTCCAGCTACAAGAGGTAAATGAGAAACAGTACGAAGGAGAGTGTTTGTGGGCACTCACACCCTTTACAACAGATTTTGGAACCCAACCACAAGCCCCTGGCAGAATGCTTACATTTATCCGGTGCTAATCAAGGCAGAAAAAAGTGCAGATTAAGTACAAATGAGATTTCATGCAGTGATGCAATATGTCTGTGTGTCTCTTGTGTGTTTTGCCGGCAGTTCTTTTTTTGTGTGTGTGTTCTCAAGATTGTAAATTATCTGCCATCTCTTCTCAAAAGGAACATTTTAAAAATGTTTCTCAATCCAGTTCTTCCTTGAATTTTGTGGGAAACTGTAAATCATACAAGACCAAATCTGTATGATATATGCATAACTTTTGGCTGTCACACCAATGAGTTAATGGCATGATATATGTGGTGCAGGTATCTCTATATATCAATGCTATCGCTGTCCTGTCACCTCATTTTTTTTCTGTGCATGCATTTTGACAGAAGTGATTTTCTCTTCAACCACAGAGCAATTCTGTAGAAGTTTATTATACCGTACATCTGTTAATACAGTGATTAACTCCAAAAAATATACCTCTTAACCAAGTTAGCTCCTTCTCCCCCTCCTCCAGGACTCCACCCCTTGAAAGATAGGGATCATACATGTAAGAAGGAAGGTGTGATAAAACCTTCCTTAGTCAAAATGAATTCTTTAAGAACAATTGCACAGATATGAGTAACAATTTCTTCTGTCACATTCATTCTTTAAAAAAAAGTTCAAATGACTCCTAAGGACCCAGATGGATCTACGATCCTCAGTTAACATGAATTCAGTTTCCCCAACTCAAATCAATAAGCTAGAACCCAGACTTTGTGCAATTCTGCAGAAAATGCCTGGAGAAATTGTGAGCTTCTAGGCATTGGTGGATTCCAGTTCCCCTTGTCCCTGGAAAATGTCTAGGGAGATTGTGGTTCCTCAACACTGTTATAGAGAAGCTGCTGGTAAAAAAAAAAGATATTAAAGGAGCAATTCTTATTTTGGGCAGCCGTAATTTTGCTTCACTGACCCACCACGCATACCTGCACTAGATCCTGCCATTTTGAGACCTTTTCGTTTGCATTCCAATTAGTTGATTGCTGATATTGCACATGAAACTTTTGGCCAGTTTCTTTACAGGCAATGGCTATGCCAATTCTTTAGCCATCTCTAAACTAAACTTACAGCTGACAGATATGGTGAAAATACAACTCCTTAGAAATTGTGGGAGTTTCTGCACCAAAATAATTGATGTGCTCCAGGTTGCCAAAGGCTGCTCTGTGCTTTGCAATGCTGCCACTGCTAAATAACAATCAGGTTTATTTCCTTCTGGTTTCTGTTTCTCAGTGGCAGGATTGTCTCTCTCTTTCAATCACTATCATTAGAAATGCAAAAGATTCAAAAAACAAAACAAACAAAACTGGAAAATATGTTTTTGTAAATGCAGCAAGATGTTCAATGAAGTGCCATTAATGGAAATCCTTCAGTTCTCAGACACTTTAAATCACGGAGGCTGAATGATTAATTTAGTGAGTATTTGGTACAACCCTGCACTTTTGGTCCGCGGATTATTTCTGTATGATTCAGTAAGTCCGTATGAATGAATATGAGTAGAGAAAGGGCCGTTCCCTTGGCTCAGCATACTTCATTCTGTGGTGCAGCCTCTCTGATTGTATTGTATCCCTGATGACTTAAGAGAGGAATGCAGAGATTTTGTCAGGGTTCTTCTACCACAGTATTCTAATGCAATAGCCCTTTCTAACATGTACTCGGATAACTATGACAATATGTTCTTGTATTTGAGATGTTATTAAAATATTTATGTGAAATCAAGAATTTTATTGGGGAACCCCCAATCCCCTTCATTTTGCTTGATCCTACAAATCCTACTTGATCCTTCACTCCGTAAGAGGGCACAATTGTCTTGTCTGGGGCACAATTGACTTTTCATAACATTGAAAACCATAACATGCAGCAGAATGTCACAAGCTAAGCAGAAAGGCACTTCCTTCCTTTTCTCCATGCCAGGGGTATCAAACTCCCATAGTCACATTGTCGTCATGTGACATATCATGATTCTCCCCCCTCTTCCTTAAACTGGGGTTGGCATGGCCAGTGCATGACGGGTTGGCATGGCCAGTGAATGATGGAACTGGGTATAATGAAAAGAAGGACTAGGGGAGACATGATAGCAGTGTTCCAATATCTTAGGGGCTGCCACAAAGAAGAGGGAGTCAAGCTTTACTCCAAAGCACCCGAGGGAAGCAATGGGTGGAAACTAATCAAAGAGAGAAGCAACTTAGAACTGAGGAGAAATTTCCTGACAGTTAGAACAATTAATCAGTGGGACAACTTCCCTCCAGAAGTTGTGAATGCTGGAGAGCACTCCTTTTAAAGAGGAGATTGGATAACCATTTGTCTGAAGCAGTGTAGGGTTTCCTGCCTAAGCAGGGGATTGAACTAGAAGGCCTCCAAGGTCCCCTTGTCAGGTTTCTGAAAGATGCCCTAATTGATTCATGAGCCTCGAGCCAAGTTTCAAAAGAAAACCAATCATTTATTAGGAGCACCATTTTGGCAATACCCTATTGCAGTCAGATCTAAGCCTCATTTGAATTATAGCTGAACTTTACCCCTGTTCCTTCCCTCCCCTCAGTCTGTGTCATAAATCACATTATCCAATGCGGTACACCCCTCACAAGCCTGCTGCAGTAATCTGAGATCCAACTCTAGCTGAAGGTGTGCGTGGAATGCACTCCTTTCCTCACCATGGCAACTTTATGAGTTGATACCCTTCCAACTCTGTTATTCTATTCTATCTGGCCCACGGTCTGCAAATTTGATACCCCGGCCCTATGCCTTAGTGGTACTACCTGAGGGCAACAGGTACCTCTCTAGAAGTTCTAATCCCCTCAATCCTAAGCAGCACGGTCAATAGGGATTGTTGTGCAACAGCGTCTGGAAGTCCATACACTGCTTTATTTATTTTCACCCTAAAAGTGAGAAAGACATTCTGATCCCAGTAGGCCACAACAAGCAAAACGAGTTGGGATCTTTTCCTGGTTCCATTGCTTCTTGGGAGAGAAAAACACAAAAGACTTGAAGAGCCCACTTTAGTGCAAAAATATTAGTCCTGCCAGGTGGAATAATTCCCGAGGGCATTGCAATGGGGAAGGTTGCTACGGATATGCAAAAAACATGCAATTCCACTTGCCAACTGCCCTTATCTTGGTGACACAATTGCACTTTTCAATTTTAAATGGTAAGAACTAATTGCAAACCTTCCTGTCAGTTTCAGAAAGCCTTGTCCGCATTTTGCTCCTCGTTCACATTTTATAAGCCTTTCTCATCTAATGCCTTACCGTATATGGTTGTTGAACTTTGGGTTCCATCCAGTGGTGCAATTCAGCTGGTTTTATCCGATTTGGGCAAACCTGTAGTGGTGGTGGCAGGAGACTCCTCCCACCTGCCCGGACATCATCACATCCAGTTTTTGATGCTCTACACATGCACGGAAGGTCCGCGCATGTGCAGAGGTGGGCATGTGCGCACGCTCATATTTGTGAACCAGTAGCGAAGGTAAGTTGATTTCAACCCTGGTTCCATCAAACATTTGTGGAGGTCTGATTGTTTAAGCCAAAGAAAGATGGGATATGCTACGGCATGAAGCCTTTAATAGTTAAATCAGTCAAAACCTGGCTGTTATATGCAAATAGTCCTCCTAACTTGTTTATCACCATTTGTGGGAAAGTACAAAGTTAGAGAGAACTGAGAACCAAAAGGTGCTATTGGAGATACAGGTTTATTAACAATAAAATCAAAGAATACTTCCCAAGGCATAATCTTTTTTTTAATGTATGAGGATCAGTGATCAAAAACCGTTTTCAATCCTCAGATGAAACAGGTTTCAGTGTCTCTTGCCTTATTGTAGTCAGTTATCTTTTGAATATATGAAGCCACTTATCTTAACTGCTTTCTGCCACCTGTATTTCAAAGTGTTCAACTTCAGAAGACCGTCCAGGGATCCTCAGATGTTAGGGCTTCAGTTCTGGCTGAGCTGAAAAACTTGGATGTGAATGCTGATAAAGCAATCCCATTTTAAAAATAAAAAGCATCAATCTATTTAATTTCAGCTGCAAGATGCATAAAATGGTATATGTAAATCATTCACAGGTGCAGATGTTTAAAGAAACAAATTTATATTTTTGGTTTTCTTTTGTTTTGTGCAATTTATAAACTAGTTACAGAGGCAAGTTCTATTTTGGGGCTGGGTAAGATACCAAGAGATGCAAAGAAGGGAAATAGAAACTGAATCAAATGTAATTTATTTTCTTTTCATTATACAAAAACTTGGGGTCAAGGGTCATCCAGTGCAATTTCTTAGTAGTAGACTCACAGGCCTCTTGTAAGAGCCCACATTGTTGTATATTGCATTATTCCTAATTTTTTTCCTCACAGGAACTGTTGAATATTGATCCCCCCCATACATAATTTTTTCAATATCCTCTGCCAGAAAATAGCCACTAAAGCAATACCTTTAAAGGAGAAAAGACAAATATTTGGAAAATAAGTATCTCAGTGCTATATAGGCTGTAATTTCACATCTCTGGAAGAATGAAGCCTGGCGATCTTGAATTTATGATGCTCCTGCTGTTTTGCTATTGGTACTCAGGGTCCACAATGACAACAACAACAATAATAATTATAAAGGTATAAAGTTCTCTAGCACTATTCCTTTGCATAGCACACATTGGATAAGAACGATTGATTCATGATTTGGTCATTACCACTTAACTTTTCCTGTATATATAGTCTATGGCTGCTGTCTTCAAGATGGAACTCAAGTTTAGAGGCCACTGACTTCTAGGGAGCAACAAATCCTGAAGACTATTACTCTCAGCTGTGCTGACAGATATATTTTTTTTTAACAAAGATTGGAAATATTAGTACAGTATTTGAGGGAGCACTGGCACTCCAATCTTACTAAAGATTCAAGCAAACTAGATAGAGAAGAATAAGAAACTGCCTTGGTAGACTTAAAGATCCAGTCTTACAGTGAAGGTTCTTTCTTTTTCAAGAACTGATGTACCACAGTGTAGCAGATAACTATAGAAACTCCTTATTGTGGCACACACCTTCACCAGAAACAGGATGTTGCTCTGGGCTAACTCCATCCTCCTTAGCCTTGCAGATTGATGTAATCACATCAATATATCTTTATTAAGATAAAGGTTCCTCCACACATTCGTGCTAATCATTTCCAGCTCTAGGGGGCAGTGCTCATCTCCGTTTCAAAGCTGAAGAGCCAGCGCTGTCCAAAGACATCTCTGGGGTCATGTGGCTGGCATGAGTAAATGCCGAAGGCACATGGAACACTGCTGCCTTCCCACCAAATGTGGTTCTTATTTTTCTAATTGCATTTTTACATGCTTTTGAACTGCTAGGTTGGCAGAAGCTGGGAAAAATAACGGAAGCTCACTTCATTACGCAGGAGTAGGGATTCAAACCGCTGAACTGCTGACCTCAACAAGCTCAGTGTTTTAGCCACTGAGCCACCGCATCCACTTTCTTTATTACACCTTTATTACTCAGCCCTTAAAAGAAACAGTTTCTACTTCAGTGTCATTGTTCTTCTTGGTTTCCATCAAGGTCTAAGTAAATCTCTAAGCCAAACTCCAGGCAGAAATCACACCACAGCGGGCTGTTTACTGTAATTTGTAGTCCTGGCAGTTGACTGATAATTGTTTTGCTTGTCTGTAATAGTCACTTCGTACTTCCTTGTCTGTTTGTGGTATTCTTCTCTTTCTGTCATAAACACTCATATTTTTGTAGGCTAAGGACCTAGGTGGGGGTGAAACTGCCTATGGACACCTGCTTGTTCTAAAAACACCAGGGTGTAGCTCACCAGATACCTGGAATGCTGATGTGGATGCTTGCGAGTAATGTAGACAGCACCTCCAGCTTCATTCCCTTACACTAGCAACTTGCTGCATCTTGTGCTTAACAGCCAAGTGGCCAACTGTTGCACTAGCGAGATGTCATCAAAGCATATAAATGCAAGTAAGTACTCCACTATGTGTAAACAGGATTGCAGATGAACTGAAGCCACATTTCTCAAATGACTGGCCTCAATTGTTTGTCATCTAGAATAAAATTGGACACCATTTTACATCTGAAAGCATATGTTTAGCAAAAAAAAGAAAGCTTTAGTTTAGTACTTTAGTTAAGAGGTGGGTTAATTACAGGTAGTTGTGAACTTATTACCACAATTGAGCCCAAAATTTATGTTGCTAAGTAAAAAAATCTGTTAAGTGTGTTTTGACCCATTTTATGACTCTTCTCACCACGTTTGTTAAGTGAATCAGTGCAGTTCTTAAATTAGTAACACGGTTGTTAAGTGACTCTGGTTTCCCCATTGACTTTGCTTGTCAGAAGGTCACAAAAGGTGATCACATGACTGTGGGATACTCCAACCATCATAAATGTGAGTCAGTTGTCAAACATCCGAATATAAATCAGGTGACCATGGGAATGCTGCAAGGGTCACAAGTATGGAAAATGGTCATAAGTCACTTTTTTCAGTGCCATTGAAACTTCGAACAGTCACTAAGCGAATTGTTGTAAGTTGAGGACTACCTGTGCATGATAACTGTTTGGAACAAGTAAAGCCTCAGAACTGCATGCAGTCCAAGGCCTCAGAGTTTCCAATTTGTGCAGACAGAATAGGCAGCATACAAGCATAGTTTAGCAGTGATCTAGTTATGTACAGTGTATACAAGCCAGATTTGAACATTTGAAACTCAAGTTGCTTCTGGAACTAGGGATCTCTGACAGCCTTTAAACCAGAGGTCACCAACCTTTTGGACTTCAGGGACCACCAAATTCATAATTTTAAATCCGGCGAATCACTAATATGATTTTTTAAAAAAAGATAAATAGTATTTAGTGCGATATAAAAAATGGAAATAATTTTTCTGTGGACCACCAAAGTTTCTCACGGACCACCCGTGGTCCACGGACCCCTGGTTGGTGAACGCTGCTTTAAACCACAAGAATGGTTCCTACTACAGCCTCAACCTATTTGTAAATGATGCCCCAAGTGGCTGAAGTATGTTGACCCTTGGTTTCAGCTTCAGTCTTCATTTCAAGGTGTCATCCCTTTTCAAGAAGTGAATGATGTACTATACAGGGCCATTTAGATTCTGAGACTTGAATCCAAATTTCACTTGAGCTCAACTCAACTCCTAATGACTACATGAACATGTCTATATGCAATTTTGTTGGCAGCAGTACAGAATGATTTGTACTATCTTCTTCCAGGATGATTAAAAAACAACAACATCCTGTCTAATCTAATCTATAGCTTGAGGTTTCCAGGTCTCTTATCTTAGTATAAATGAGGTTTACTCTGTTTTGGTTTCCTAGCTCAGTCCAAGATTATAGTTGTTAGGAATATAATCTAACGGTTGGGTTGGCAGTATATAAACCATGTAAGAGTGCTGTACCTGTTTCTTTAAATCATATTGTAAAATGTGATTGGCTGCTGTTTTCCTCAATTGGCCATTAGAGGGAGCCAGAATGACTGTTAGCTCTCTGTTTGTTAGATGCTGGGCTGATCTGATCTGAGTGTTTTTGGAAGCTGACTGTTAGAAAGTGCCGTGAGCTATTGTAAGTTTTGCAACTGCTAGCAAACTTTGAGTACTGGACTGTTTGTATGTTTATGGACTATGTTATTTGGATTATCCCTTAACTGAAAGACATTGATGACTGACTTGTCTTATCCGTGTATGACTTGGACTGTTTGATGGACTCTGATACCTCTATTTCCACGAAAGTAAAAGCCTATTTAAACTGCAGTGTCTCTGTATGCTGGTTTGTGTGTTCTCCAACACAACTCTCACAACGCTTCTCTGAACGCACTTGCTCTCCCAATGGGGAGCTTACCTAACAATAGTTACATGCTGCTACCTACTGTGGACCTTCCCAGAGTTCCTCCCAGAGTTCGTCTTAAAATAATATGAACATTTGCAACCGCTTTGACCAGAGACCGTAGCAGGAAAGATGCATTTATGTACACACAGTCACTGTTTCATTTTCTTTCACACATATACACATCAGAGGTGGTATTCAGCAGGATCTGACCAGTTCTGGAGAACCCGTAGCGGAAATTTTGAGTAGTTCGAAGAACCAGTAATACCACCTCTGACTGGCCCCACCTCCATCTATTCTCTGCTCTCGAGTCCCAGCTGATTGGGAGGAAATGGGGATTTTGCAGTATCCTTCCCCTGGGGAGGGAATGGGGATTTTACTTCCCCTACCACACCCACCAAGCCACGCCAACAGAACTGGTAGTAAATTTTTTTGAATCCCACCACTGATTCACAGGTGTGTTTGTATAGCAGTCACATTCCCATTACAGCTTCAGGTCTTATAAGTATAAGGATTCTATTAAATAACCAGTTCTGTTTCCCTTCTCTTCTGAATCCACTTGAAAAAAGTATCCAAGATAATCAGAGCTCTTTTTAGGGGATCTGTTAACAATCCATTTACCCACAGCGGCAACTGTTTGTCGCTGTCTTCACTCCTCAGTGCGTTTCTGCTGGCAGTTATGCCTTTGGGCTCGTTTCATAATCATATCAATAGGTTGTTGCAATGGATTTCCAGGAATTGGAAGGCCAAGAAAGCCAAGAACCCTCCCAAAGTGTATATAGACTGTTGCAAGGCAACAATCCATTGGCATGAATTGAAGGTCATAAAAGCTTTTTTTTTAAAAAAAGAACCCAACAACAGATGCATCACCACTGGAACAGGGTATTGTGCACAATTGTCCACACATAGTGATAACAAGTGTGATTGGTGGACAATTCCTTTTGTCCCTCAAGTATTACTTCACCATTGTTTGAAAGATCCCTTGTGATACACACTCACACACACACAACAAACAAAATTAATCGAGAAACCCATTTTTCCAGTTTATGCAACATGCTGGACTAGAAACTAGGTATACACAATGGGTATGTAGAGCATCCTAGGTCAAAATAAGAACTTAGTTTATGATACTCTGGTTGTAACATAGCATGTTTCATTAGAGACCTAGTTATTATGTGCATAAAACACACCAAGGTTATCTAATATTAACCTTAGTGAGGAGATTGAGTGGGAATGGTTGATATATTTATTAATCGAATATATTTGGCATATTGTTCAAATCCAGTATGTCTATATGACATAAATTAAATATACTGAACACATACATTAATCTAGTAACCAAATTGAGTGTGTTGTGCTGCATCTGTCCTGTTTGTCAACTGAACTTGGTATAAATGTAATTCAAGGCTGCAAAACTGTTATTTTTAAAAAAGTATTGCCCTAAGTGGGATTTTTTGAGTAAGCATGTTTAGTTAGGAATGAGATGTTTCCTATTTCTTAAAATCAGGATCTTGGCATCCTAGTATAATTAATGTCCCCAATGATACAAGATTCAAATTGATGAAGATTTTCAAAACCCATAACATCGGTCGATTTTCCCGTGAATGCTAATTAGGTTGAAGCCCTCTTTTTTGGGTTAAGACCGCTGTTATAAATGTGAATGACTGAGCTTTGCAAGAGGCAGTTATTGGTAACGGTACAAAAGAAAAATGGGGAGGGGGCTTTCCTTGGCTTTCCTTTGCACATGGCAGAACAGGAGTTTAATTCATTTTGCTCTAGTGACACATCAACAAGGAGACTGTTGTTCACTCAATGTTCTCCTGAATTCTGTGGCTCCCTTCTTCATGTGACAGTTTTTTGTAGACGTCCCTAAAGAGAATGTGAGATGAAGAGTGAATTGGAGCACACTTTCAACTTTTACTGTTTGTCTATAAAGAACACTTGTACATGAAAGAGATTCTGATGTCTACTATAGAGTTCCCCTGTCTGCTGTCATGGGACCATAGCATTATAACTACTCCATAGGGGCAGGAAGTTGCTGCTCTCTTTCTGAACATAGGGAATTCTATAAATGTTTATAGAACATTTATAGAAACATCATTGTGAAAGTAAAAATGTCAGCGTACCAGATGGAACTCCATATCTTTAGTCTTATTCAGGTAACTGGAACAAGGAGAGAAAATTATTTACTTATTAGTTTATATGCACCCCTCTCACCCAGCAATGACTTTAGGTGAGAAGGATGGCATATTCCCAAAGCTACTGTAAATTTCCCAACATAAATCCAGGATTATGGATTGTTTCAAAATAACAAGTCCCCTTGATTGAAATATTTTCCTCAAACACTTTTTGTGAGAGAAAAATTACACCAATCTTGTCTTTAAATTCTTGTTCAAAAAGCTATTTGAGCTGCACCCTTATTCTTCTTGCGGCTTGGGTCCATATTTTGTAGAATTCCATGCCTGTATATCAGTGCTTGCTTTCTCTTTTTCTTCCTACAATTTATTTTTCCATTTATTTATTTTTCCATTTTATTTTATTTTATAAATGGGGTTAAAGGGCAATACATTATAGAGACATTTTCTAAGAAATGTCAGTTATTTCACAGTTTCAGTTTAATGGGGTGGCATTAGGTACCGTGTTTCCCTGAAATAAAGACAGGGTCTTATTTTCTTTTCACCTCCAAAATAAGCACTTGGCCTTATTTTCAGGGAGGTCTTAGTATTTTTGAGGTGCAGAAGGCAGCAAGCGTGGTCACCTCATGGCTGCTGCTGTGCTGCAATATTTTTAGGGAGGGCTAATTTTCAGGGGAGGGCTTAGTTTAGCGCATGTGCTCAAAAGCCTGATTGGGCTTATTATCCAGGGAGGTCTTATTTTTGGGGAAACAGGGTAGCAGTTGATCTATAGCAATAGCACTTAGGCTTATATACCGCTTCACAGTGCTTTACAGGCTTCTCTAAGCGGCTTACAAAGTCAGCATATTTTCCTCAACAATCTGGGTCCTCGTACATGCACATGAACACATAAAGGAACGCATGAAAGGAGATTTTCTAAAAAGAAGAGGAAAGCACAACATGTTGTTACTAATGTTTTGAGTGGCATATGGGGTGTACGTGAGATACTGATTTGGCAGAGATCTGGGCAGGATGTGAGGCACAGCAGTGAAGTCTGTGGCTGTGCTGATGTCACCATTCTCCTTAGAAGTAATGACAATAGGAGTCAGAGAGGAAGTGGAGGTTAAACGCCTCCAAATTTATCAAGTAGCATCTGCACTGACTTATTGAAAACACACAAACACACACACACGTTTGGCTGCTATACAGTCATCAGCATATTCCATCGATAACATGACTAAAATGACAAAGAGGGCGAAGATAACGAGTACTTTCATCAGCTGCTCGGTAACCTGATTCCAGAATCAAATCCATTCAAAGCAAGAGCTGGTTCTTCTTCTTGCAATGTCTCCATTTATATTTTTAATTTTATTTATTACATGTAGATATTTTCTTTGGGAAGTTAAGATGGTGTATATCTGGATTGGGTGCAATGTGGTAAATAATATCAATTCACAAGGGTTGATGGGACTAGTTAAGGGGTTGATTATGTTTGATTGGTCACACATTCAGCTAAATATTTGGACTGGATTTGGCATTTTTATCCATCTGTCAAGTACTTCCCAAGGATTTGGGTTAGGCAGATGCTTGATGGCGTTAAAGGTATCGTCACAAGTAAGCTGCTACCTTTTGCAATTGATTGGTTGACTTTCTTAATGTCAATCATGTTCAAGTAGGACTCTAGCTGTTTTGGGATTGCACCTAAGGTACTTATTATTATTTGCAGTAGTATTAGTTAAAACAGTATTTATTAAATTATTTTCATATAATAAATGTATGGGGGTTGAAGAGCATTTAGAAAAATTCTGCTCATAGTTTTCTGTACCTCCTGTGATGTAAGCTGGTATGAGAAAGAATGGATATAACTAAGAGTGCAGATTCTGGACTCCTCCTCCCCCGTCAGAGCCACCATCTTAACCACATCTTAACCACAACATAACATTCCTTATCATGTTATTTTCAAGGGTTCATATATGTATATATATGTATATGCATGTGTGTCTGTGTGTGTGTGTGTGTGTATGTATGTATGTATGTATGTATGTATGTATGTATGTATGTATATATAAACATGGCCCGTGGTTTTATAATTAGGGTATTGTGACTGTTAAATATTATGATTGTGTGATCATGGTTTCCTGGATTATGTTGCTACTGTGAACTGCTTAGAATCCTGATGAGTGAAGCAACACAAAACATCTGTAATAAACAGACAAAAGATGGAATAAATGAATGAATTACACACCTTCTGTGGAAGGGCATGTGTTAAAACCTGGATTGCTTTCCCCTTGGACTTCAGTTTTGTGATATTCTTCCTCAGGGACAAAAAGCTGTAAGGCAATTATAAGTATTTGGTAGTATAAAACAACATGAAAATCCTCTTTCAGTGTGATACCATTGAACAGGCTTTATGAATGTTTCTTAAATGATCCTCAAACCAGATAACCTAGAGAAGTGATATTTTTCTTTTTCACCTTTCATATATACACATGAAAAGTTTCATGTTTCTTTCCCTTATTCTCACTTGGGGAAAATTATACTTATTTATGCATTTTTACCCTTTTATTCACTTGCTAAGCATATTATTACTTAGTATTCCCTAAACCTTTACACTATTTTCATGATATAATAAGAAACGGAATCCTTTTTGTTATATACATACAAACAAAAGCAAAGGTTTCATTAAATTTCATCTTTGTGGAGATCTGATTTTAGAGCTCAATGAAAAAGTGTATTCTCCTCTCCATGGGCTAATAACGAGGAGTTTCAAGAAGGCTAGAAACAAACAAATAACAACAAAAACACAAAACAAGAAAGTCCAGTTGCCTCTTGAAAAAGCACCTTTGGGGCTAGAAACAAGCTTTGATTGTTGGTGAAAGGCAGACATAAACCATCAGATATCTTTGATTTCAAATTTTCTCAGTTTCAGCGAGCTTGGATTAGAGAATGGGTGTCCAACGTTTTGGCTTGCCTGGGCCAAATTGAGTCAAGAGTCTTGGCCACATATAAAATAGATAATATGGTTAATGAATAAAAATCACATTAAAACATTAAGAGTTTATGCTCTTGGGGGCTGCATTACTAGCTGTCCAGTGCTGCATGCAGCCTACGGGCCATGGATTAGAGCAAGAATATAAGAGTTTGAGTCAACATCATACCAAAGGCATACTGATTGTCTACCATGTGTGCAGAAGCTGTATCATTTTATATGAAACATGTAATGCAAAAGAAGCCTCTTGCATATTGGTATTTATTTAAAAAATGCTTGCTGTGTCTTTGTCACTCACCCAGAAAATCCCCTTTCTATACAAGGATCACAGTTTACAGAAGCACTTTGACATGATAGTTTAGCAATCTTCATTCCCACCCTGGAAGAACTGGACAATCCTTGCTACAAAGGGAAATCTAGAGTTCTAGAACTTTTCGTGAACTAGAATTTTATAGCCCAGGCATAAACTGTGCTATATTCGTTTTAAGTTCTATAACCTCCATTACTTTATAGAACAGGTTCTTCGATGTACGATGCCTTCTGGGTTCTAGAGGCTTCAAAAAATTTTCCTGAGCAATCCTATGAAAATAAACCCTACAGATTTTCATAAGAACCCTATCTTCAGCTTACCTCCTTGCATCTCTTCCCTGAACCACCATGCTCTCTTTTGAAAACCAACACATCCTTTTATCTAATGGCAATGGTGTGGGAGGACACTTGAAAGGCTTTTGTGCATTAATGCATTCAGATATCTCTTTTGTCCTCCATGGCATTGAGCCAACAAAGCTAATTGGGGACATGGCAGGAGAGCCTCACATAGCAACTTTGAAGGTGACACTGATTATTGATGCCCCTTTGACAGCTTAAGAGCTGTAACCTGCATTTGGCATTTTAGAACTAAAGGGTGTGCTTTGAGCATGGAGCAGACACATCTGCAAATCCAGCTCTCTTTATGGCTTGTCCTTTTCTCCTTTCTGAAAATACTCCAGCTTGGGCCACTGCTTAATTGATGCTGGGTCACTGGAAAACAAGCTGGACTCTTTAACTATCGCAGACCATTCCTTCTGCTTCAGATCCCACATGCTCTCCTGCCCTGCACCAGATGTACTAAGCAGAGCTTTGTGGTGTGAGTCATGAATGAGACTTCTGCTCTCTGTGCTGTTGGCAGTTTAACCACAGGCCAGCCTATGGCAGCAGGTGTCATACAGTTGGCCACTGCAACAGTTTTGAACATAGTACTTGAGATCCTTAGTAAAAAAAAAAGTATGCAGCCTCCTGTTTTTATTATGCAGCTTTGTTGGGTTGTTTTTTTTGAGGAACGAGGAGGTTAAACAACATTTAAACAACATTTCACTGAGATCACTCTGAAAATCCGGGATAGAAATACTTTAGAAAGAAATATTTTAAATAGAGAAACATTTAGTCTTTTGACATTGTGTTTCTGCTTTGATAAGCGATCTCCTTCTGCAAGCTATTGCAATCAACCAATCTATAAACAGTTCCCTTGAAAGAAATATAAAAAGGCATGACTATAAAAAGATAACAGAACCTTCACTCTGGAACCATCGCTTGTCTTTGTATGCAAATATAGACTGACTTTCACAAAGCCCCAAAGAGAAAAGATTAAAAGTTCTTAGAGATGAAAGACTGATATTAATTGATAAAAAAGATCTGCTTGACATAGAATTCTTGACATGTTTACATGGGAATAAGTTGCATTGTGTTTAGTGGAGCTTATTTCTTACTGTGAATTGCAATACCCTGCTTTATCTAGAGTTATTCCTTCGTTGCCTTTGATTTTATAAGTTAAAAGTGGAGCTTTTCAAAACAAAAATTGGAAAGGATGTAAGAAAATGGGTTTTCTTTTTCTGTGTTTACGGTAGATATTTCCAAATTCTGCCATGATCAAACCTGTTGTCACCTTGCTCACTTACCCTACTGTTACACTGAAGTCCTACATTTAAATGTCAGTTATAATAGTTGAGTTGGATGGCCAATGATTTTGTGGTTGTGGGCTGGAAAATCACAACCCCACTTCCATAGGAGGCCTGGCAGTGACATAAAATCTCTCTGGGGGAGCAGGACTGTTTTTTTGGGGTGGGGGGAGGAAGAGCTATTTGGGAAATAATTAGGTTTTTTTCCCCCAAAATGTCTATGGAGATTCTCAGTCATTCAGGTCATGGTTGTCCCAAAGGTGCATTTGAAAAGGCTGTCAGAACTGAAGAAGCTTCTTGGACGAGAAGCAAAATGTCTTCAAGGAAAAACAAAGAAAGTACAGTTGACTTTTAGCAGTTAGACTTATATAGCAGTTAGACTTATATACCGCTTCATAGGGCTTTCAGCCCTCTCTAAGCGGTTTACAGAGTCAGCATATTGCCCCCAACAACAATCCGGGTCCTCATTTTACCCACCTCAGAAGGATGGAAGGCTGAGTCAACCCTGAGCCAGTAAGATTTGAACAGCCGAACTGCAGAACTGCAGTCAGCTGAAGTAGCCTGCAGTGCTGCATTTAACCACTGCGCCACCTCGGCCTCCAAAAGCACCTTTGGGTTTTCCTCCAGAAATTTGATAATCTTCTTTAGAATTTATAAGGGAAAAAAGATGGAGGAAGGAAGGAACAATTGAATCACTGAAAATGCCTGATATACAGTTGGAAGGTTCTGAGATGCAGAATATGGAGCAGTAAAGCTGGAGGCATCATCCCATAAATCACAGGTTATCTATGCTTTCTCTAGGCAGATGAATACCAGGGGTGGGTTGCTGTCGATGTTACTAGTGGTTTGCAGCCTCCTGCAAATGCTGTTTAATGTAAATTGTTCTTCGAACACGCACAGAACAATTTACAGTGAACTGTGCATGTGCAGTCACTAAAAACCAAAATAGTGGCAGCCTAGCAGTGGCGTGGGAACTAGTTTGGGGGTGTGGCAGGTCTGGGTCACTGCCGATTCTACGACCTGGGCCTGAATTCCACTACTGGTTCGGCTGAACCAGGACAAACTGGGAGCAACCCACCTCTGATGAAAACATAAATTTTCACAGCTGCTCTGAAAGAAAGTGGCTTGTCTTAAGAAATCATAGCATTTTTCTAGTTGGTAATGAAAATATTCTTAATCCTTTGTATGAGCAATTACTTGAAAATCTGGAAATCCTCTTTATGATATACAAGTCTGTCAGCCCAATTTGACACCACAAGATTACTGTTGTGAGGTGACACTGAAGGAAGGAATGGTACTTATTCTGTCTTAAGTGCCTAGAGTAGACTTACCATCTTTGGAGACATTCTGGATGTGAGGACTGTTCCTCCCAGAATAATGATTGCTATAAATGCTGGGAAATGAAGTCCACGTACCTGGAATATGCTAAATTTGAAAAAAGAAAACCTGTCCTAGAAGAAAATCAGGCTATAAATCTAGTTAATGCATTGATAACGCAACTGCGTTATCAATGCATTAACTAGATTTATAGCCTGATTTTGGAAATGTTCTGAAAAGTCACAATAATATTGTATTTGTTCATTTGCCTTAAAAGTTGCCTGCTCCCCAGTTGCCTGCTCCGCCCTCAGTCCTGGAAAAAAATTACACATATTGAACGATGAGTTGCTACTTAAGAAGAAAAAGAAAGTATGCCACAGTTTTGATTCTGTACACTCACCCACTTTCGTGGCCTTCCTCTGGGCTTTTTTGCAGTAGAGATGTGCCCCTGTAATATAGAACAACAGCAACAGCAAAAAACAACAACAAAAAACCAGCATGTCCCTTAGGCAATATGTACTCTTTGCAATCAATACATTATACTCTAGTTATCATCTTATTGATAGGTATTCTCTAATGATTCAGGAAAGGAAAAGGAATTTTGAAAAGATGGTAGAAGAAAAACTTGTATCTAGTAACCAAAATAAATGGAAGATCACTACCAAAAATGTATTGGCAATTTGAAACTCAGAAATGAATGAATATGAAAGAAAACTTGGCTAGTTCAGGTTTGAAAAGCACAATGACTTAATTGTCCTTCTCTGTCAGTGGGTCCCAGTCAGGGGTGGGTTCCTGCCAGTTCTAACCTCTTCTATAGAAGAGGTTCAACAAATCTACAGTGCCGTTTAGAACCGGTTCCAGCTCCCTCCCCCCACCCATCTGCACATCATCAAGATGAAGAGCGGGAGGAGGAATTGTGGGAGTTGAAGTCCACAAGTCTTAAAGCTGTTGAGTTTGAACACCCCTGGTTTTTTTTTCTAAAGGGTTAGGGGTGCAAGGGTTTTGTAACTTGACAGCTTTAAGACTTGCACACTTCAATGCCAGAGTTCCTAAACCAACATGACTGGAGAAGAAATTCTGGGAGTTGAAGTCCACAGGTCTTAAAGCTGTCAGGTTTGAACACCCCTGGGGTTTTTTTCTAAAGGGTTAGGGGTGCAAGGGTCTTGTAACTTGACAGCTTTAAAACTTCCGTGCTTCAAATGCCAGAGTTTCTGAGCCAACATTTTGGTTGCTAAGCAAGAACATTGTTAAGTGAGTTTCACCACATTTTACAAGTTGGCCATGCCCACCCAGTCACATGGCTGGCAAGCCACTCCCACCCAGTCACATGGCCAGCAAGCCACACCCACAAAGCAGGCCACACCTACAGAAGAGGTTCTAAAAAAATTTGAAACCCACCACTGGTCCCAGTGGATGTTTATTTCTCACTTTTGAGTATAAAAATAAAATAAAATAAAAGATGGAGATGGTAGCAGCCAAAAACCACAACCACAACACAGTATATACATTTCATTAGTTGGGAACAGTAAAGGGAAAAGTTATCTGATTAGTTGTCCTCTGAAAGCAAGAGTATTTTCAGAAAGGATTCTTCAACATATTTTAATGTCCAGAGAGATTCCTAATTTATCTGGCTTGATGGTGGTGTTCTAGGTATTACTGGATCTGGATGGTCCCCATATGACTGTTTGTTGAAAACATCTGTGAAAGCCTGACTTATTCACTCAGGCCTTTGGTGAGACAGACTCCATCTGGTCTCTTAGTCTTGCCATTTTTAATTTTTCTCTTAATTGGTTTTAGTCTAATTTCTTTGTTTTGATTGTTGTGAGCCACCCAAAATTTTTGGAAGTCAGATGGCATACTTTAATCAATTATTAATATTAATAATTATTATTGGATGTGTTAGTTGAGTAACTCTCTGAAAGTCTCACAATGTCTGAAAAGAATCCTAACATAAAGGAGCTGTAGCAGTGGCAACTCCATGTGATAAAAGAGATATAGGAGATAAAGAAAACAAGTAGAAGATGTCAAAATTGATAGTAGCAGTCATCATCACTGTTGGAATCAGAGTACAAAACAATCACTGTTCAACTGAAAAGTGATAGTCTCTTTTTTTAAAGTTTTTTATTTTATTTTTCCCTTTCAAATTCATTCATAGATATACATTCTTATAATTGCTATTTAACACTTGTCCATTCATCATTAGTCTCTCTCTATACTCATTTTTACACACACATATATAATACAGTTTGGGTCAATTTCTTGTCACCCCATGCTTCCATCTTATTTTGCAACAACCTTACTCCTTCCATCTTCTGAACCTCCCTTCTCTACCTTCTTCTTTCCTCCTCCCCTTCCTTCTTTCTTCTTCCCCTCTCTTTCCCCTCTCCTCCTCCTCCTTTCCCCTCTTTCTTACCCTCTCTCCTACTCTTAATTCCCCATCCTTACTTTCTCTGCTTTACTTTACCCTTTCTTCTTTTCCCTCCTCATCCCCCCTCTTGGAAAGTGATATTCTTAATGGTAAAGGAGAATATGTGGCATTAGACAGAAAAGGTGAAGGAATAAATAGAAGAACTGGACAAAGTATAACTGTGGAGAATGATAGATGATTGGTGAGCTGTATTTATAGCAGTCATATGAGAGCCAGTTTGCTGTAGTGGTTAAGGCATTAGGCTAGAAAGTGGGAGATCATGAGATCAAGTCCTTCCTTAGGTGCAAAGTGAGCTGGGTGTCTTGGGTCAGTCTCTCTGTCTCTCTCTGTCTCTCTCTGTCTCTTTCTGTTTTTCTCTCTCTCTCTCTCTCATCTAGGTAGTTGCTAGGAAGCAAAAACTGATGCAAAAGCTGAGAAAGCAAACAGAAAATCTGGAATGTAATAAAAGGAAACGTTTAAATTATATGATTTATATACAAGTACTTGTATATTTGATTTCAGTTCTTTGTTTCCGGGTCCAAAGACCTATCAGTCCCTTTTCTCTATCAGAAACTACAGAAGATTAGAGTAGAGCAGGCCAATCTGATTGTTCTTACCATCTGTCCACAACCAGCACTCCTCTTCTTGCTTCCCTTTGGTCGCCCACGTGGTTTCTTTGGGGGCAGAGGTCCAGTTGGATCCTTTTTGGATGGAAAAGTGGGGAGAGTCATTATGAACGAGAAGGATAGCTATCTCTATGTCTTATTTTTCTCTGTATATAACTACAGAGAATTGACGATAAAATCTAATGTTACACCAGATGAAATGAATATAACCTCTAGAAGAACATACATCCAGAATCTTCTGGTGGCAGATACTGAACAGGTTTCCTAAGGGCATCCAGTTTAAAAACTCTGCAATAAACTATTAGACAGCAGTAGCCTATTGTTGAGCATTAGTCTCAGTAATTCTCATGATGAAAAAAAAAAGATGTTTACCGTGGATATCAGCTCTCAGGTAAGCCCAAATTGCAAATCAATTGGAATCAAAAGAGTATGTGATGAGAAGATTATTTGATTAACCAGGGATCTTCTATGACACCAATATTAGCAGAAGAGAAGATAATAATTGATAATAGTTAAATGTGGAATCGAAAGCAGTGAAAAAATTATTGAGGCTGTTTGTTGGCTCTTCTTAATTATTTTTCCAATGGATACATGTCAGTGCTAGCCAGAAGGATTGTCATTGACATCCAATGGATACAGCTGAGATATTGCTTGTCTGTGGGTGTCTGTGGTTGTTTGGAGAACAACCCAGAAAAATAATCATCTGCAGTTTTACTGCAGAGCAATCATTCTTTTCTTCCTCAGAATATACATGCTTTGGCTATGCTTAGCATATTAGAAAACCAAAAGACAGCCTACATCAGCTGTGTAGCAGGCCAAGAACTGCTGTGACTTTTTTGACAGATGTAAGGAGCATCATCTAATGCTATAGAGCAACTAGATTGTCCAGGAAAATGAATGAGTTTATTGGTTTATTGGAAAATGGACATTTGTTTGTTGGTTAGTCATCTGGTTTGCTGGAATCTTTTATGTCTTTCTGGAAATATACCTAAATTAGACCTTCTGGAATAAATACTTCCCGTAAAGAAAGCATGTTATGAATCCTTAATTCAACCAAAATGACACCTTGAACACATAACATCAAGGTACAGGGAGGTTTAAGGTTTGCAAAACTTAATAATATTTAGTAGAAAAAAATAGAAGTAGTGCAGTATTTTATTGGTTTAAAAAGTCTGTGTTTAAAAAGTCTGTGTTCATACAACATACCAATGACCTCATTTTAACCTAACATATTGTAACCTTGGTCTTGCATTTAGTTTATTGTTCAATAGTCTGAGGCAAATTCAGAAGGGTTGATCAACGCAGTAATCTGTACTTAAAATTAGCCACAGATACGAATGTCCTGTGAATGTAGATGTATCACCAAAAGTATATTTGATCAAAACAACATAGACAACAATGGAAGCCAAATTTATCAAAAGAGAATACCAGCCCAAAAATATTGATGTTATGTTTGAATAAATATTTAAACCATTCTGAAGAATGTTGTGCATGATAATCTTAATATTTGTACATGGTTTTACAGAATTAATAGACTAATTAATATACCATACAAGCCCACTGTGCTCACCTTCCTCCTTGTACACTGAATGTGAATGGAATCTCATTCTTTTCTAATTATGCCACTATTACTACCACCACCAACATTGGAATATCTGCAAGAAATACCATTTGCCTGCAAACAATGATGCCATCACAAAATAGACAAGGTAATAACAAATGAATATGCTAAAGTGTTCTGGGATTTTTTAGAATTCAGAAAGATAAGCATCTGCCACATAAATCCCCAAAAAATGTTGATAGACAAACATTTTGGCTAGTGGACATTGCAGTACCTGGAGGCAGCAGAATAGAAGGGAAATAATTGGAGGAAATCACAAGATACAAAGACCTGCAGATAGAACAACTGTGGGAAAAGAAAGCAAAAATAGTACCAATAATGATAAGTGTCTTGAGTGCAATCCTAAAACATCTGGAGCATTGCTTCAACACCATTAGCACTGACAAAATCAAACCAGCCAATTGCAAAAAGCAGCTTTACTTGGAACAGCTTACATCCTGCAGATGATACCCCTTAACACCATCAGGCAACAACTTCTATCTATCCCAGGTCTCCAGGAAGACTGGGTTGGTGGATAAAAAATGCCAAATCCCATCTAAATATCTGATTGACTGTGACCAACCACAATAATAATAATTCATTACATTTATATACCAGATGACGCTCAGCGATTCCTGGCAGAAGGAATGCTGATTGTAATTCAAGAATGGAGCACACCATTTCACATCCGGTAAAGTAACTGCAGTTCAGTCCAAACTCATTCTCTATTGCTAAGAGGGCAGAACAATGGCTTTAAAATAGAGAAAGGAAGGCAGATTCTGACTGGATGTTAGAATAAACTTCTAAACAGGAAGCACAGTTTGATATTAGAACCATTTACCAGCAAAGGTAATCAACTTCCCTTGATTGGATGAATTCATATAGTGGCTGGACAATCATGTGCTGGAGATGCACTTTTGTAGATTCCAGCACTGAGCAGTCAGTTCAGCTTGATCACATAAATTGCCCTATACATTATTATGACACACATACACTGATAAATCGAAAAAGATCTCTAGCCTTTAACAAAGCAAAGCTGGCTGGAATTGCTGAGACTGTTCCAGAATTACAACCTTTGTCACCTAATTTCATTTTCATTATGGTCAGCGGGTATACTGTTAATAAATCTTAACTCAACCCAAAGGCAAAGTATTTAACAGAATTTTCTAAGCTTACTAAAGCATGAACTCTTACCTGTGGCTGCTTCCTTGGCCGCCCCCTTTTTCTTTTGGGCTGCTCGGTCAGGATGGTGGAAGCTGGAGCCATTGGCTTGCCAAGGTTGCTCATGGTGTCTATTCAAAGTCTTGAAGGAGCCGTTTCCTCTCAGGTTCCTATAGAAAGGAGGGTGAAGGATCTCAAGTTTGCCCTTTCTTTGTCATGGCTGCTTGCAATTGTGTTTTATTGCAGAGCTGGAAGGCTAAAAGAAAAGCTTTCTGACTACATGGTTAAGAACTACTTAATCTTCTTGAATGCTAATTTGGTAATTTTCAGCATCTCACCAGAATAAATCTTTTTTTTTTTAAGTAGCTATCTTCCTCCTTTCCTTGGCTGTTCTGTTTGACCCATCAACCTGGGACTCAATCTGCAACACACTATGATTTCCACCATCCCTAACCAGCATTAGGAAGTCTCGGCATTGGTAAATGTTCTTGCATGGATCAACTTGAAAATCTTGTGTGAGATCTTGCGCTAAATGATAGGAAGTGCTGGCAGTGGCGTGGCTGGGTGGGCATGTACCAAAGGTGGTTGGAGGGTGGGGATATACACTCAATCAGAGGAAACCAAGTCAATGGTTTTTTTTAAAAAAATAAATCAAAGACCTTTGCAGGTAGATGCACTCCAAGATAGTTGCCAAGCATCCAAGAGAAGCACGCTTCCTTTCCTCCTTTGTAAGATTAGAGAACAAAATTCACAAATAACATTGCTCATTAGTAGCATTATTTCCCCTTCTATCTCACTGCACCAAGAATATATTAAGAATCCTGGAAATTTTAAGGCAAAGGAGATTGCCCATTGTTCATTCTGTAATCGCCTTCTGCACATTTTCAAAGCAGCCTCAATAAGTGATAAGGAAAGAGCAAATTTACCTGTCAAGGACCCGGGTAGCTCTGCTTACTCTACCCCAGTACCCTCAGCCCTCTAAAGAAGAGAGGGAAGGAGCAATTCTATGACTCACCCTCTTCCTGCCCTGGGGAGAGGCGGAAAGTGCTTGAAAGTTACATGTGTTCATTTCACTCTTTGTTGTGCCTATCCAAATTTTGCTCCCGGTTAGTGATATGGAAACAGATTGAATGCTGCTAGACTCTTACCTTGACTCATGGCAGCAAATGAAATTTGTAGAAGTTCACTTTTTAACTCAGTTGAGGTCTGGTAGTAAACTGACAGAAAGGGAGAACAGACACAGAAGCCATCAACTGATCCAGAAACAGCCAAATCATATCAAGAAAAGGGATTTTTTTTGAGGGAGAGAATGTGTGTGTGTGTGTGTATGAGAGAGAGAGAGAGAGAGAGAGCATGCAGGCAGAATAAGCTCAATGGAGACAAAGTGTTGTTTCATACAATTGTCTTGCATCCAATCAACCAGGGAAAGGGTAATTCTTGCTTCTCAAAAGTGTCCTTCTCATTTGAAGAAACGAAACAGAAACAGCGGCTGAATCTAAGGAGAGGTACAATGATTCTAGGTCTTCACACGCAAAACATTTAGGGGATTTTCACAGTTGATGGTGGCAGGAATGAATGAAATTGTCCAAAGTAAGCTTTGCTCAGGATTTAATTCAAGGAGAGTTCTACCAGGCAAAAGTTTGACTAGTTGTTTGGCTTCTACAATGAGCAACTGAAAACACAAAACATGTTATATGTCTTCTCTCAGGGTTATTCTTCCTCCAAAAGAAAAAAAAGAAAGTTTCATTAGTTCCTTTAACTTTGTCTCATCAGAACCGTGAGAACTTAATTGGTGGTCTTCAACATGCAAGTTCTATTCTAGCAGTAAAATAAGGTAGGGTACCCCTGGAGAGAAACACCTATTCAGCATGAATATCTCTGTACCTGTTTTCTTCTACATTATTCTCCCTTAGAGGAATTCACATAGGAGACCTACAAGGTCTGTTGGACTTATTGAATATGGTTGACTGTTATTTGAGAGGACCAAGTGTACGCAAACAGTTTCTTGATCATTTCTTGATGATTAGTCCATTAACATCTCCTCCCCAAAATGAATGAAATTATTCATTCATTCATTCGATAATCTGAAACCTGCAACATGTGTCATATAGCTCATTGCCTCAACTCAGACAATTTTTAATAGCATTATTAATAGCAATAGCACTTAGACTTTATACTGCTTCACAGTACTTTACAGCTCTCTCTAAGCAGTTTACAGAGTGAGCATATTGCCCCCAACAATCTGGGTCCTCATTTTACCCACCTTGGAAGGATGGAAGGCTGAGTCAACCTTGAGCCTGGTGGGATTTGAACTGCGAATTGCAGGCAGCTGGCAGTCAACAGAAGTAGCCTGCAGTACTGCACTCTAACCACTGCGTCACCGTGCTCATTAGGCTGGAAACTAGGAGGCCATGAATGTTATATTATTTTTTATTCAGATTTAAAAAAACAACTCTGAAGTTTTCTACATTTTGTTTAATGTAGTATTGATCATTTACATAATTAGAGATTCAGGTACTTTTTATGGGTCTGTTTCATCAGTCAGAGCAGTTTTTAAAAACGACTGCTGTTTGATAAGGAGACCCTTCAGCTGGCCACTCACACCCTAATCATCTCATGATTGGATTATTGCAATGTACTGTAGTTGAAGATCATCCAGAAGCTAGAGCTGGTTCAAAATGCAATAGCAAGTCAAGATATTGGCTATTACTTACAAAGCTCTTTCTGGTTTAGGGGCTGGTTATTTGAAGAATTGCCTGTCTCCAGTTCTTTCTGACCATCAGATGTGTTCAGACATGTACTCCAGATTTCTCAAATGTTGTTACCTTGTGGGACTGAGGAATCGTGACTCCTTTGTCATAGCCCCTACCCTACACATGGCTCCCATTCTCCAAGGGTTCCAGAAGTATCTTTAGACCTGACGTTGTTCCTGGACTTGACGTTAAGGTATTGCTGGAACCCATGTCATTTCTCTAAATGTTGTGGATTGCTGTTTTAGTTTGGGCAACCATGTTGTTTTTGTTGTGCTTTTAAATTTAATGTATATATAATATATGGATATATTATAAGGTGCTCAGAATCTTTTTGGAGTAGGGTGGTCTTAACAAATTGAGGTAATCCTCGACTTACAACCAGTCATTTAGTGACCCAGGTTTGAAGTTCCAATGGCACGTCCCCTTTGAAGTCACATGATCTCATTGTGGGTGCTTGGCAACCATCCTGGATTTATGGCACTTTGCAGCATCCCATGATCACATGACTATGATCTACAACTTTTTTTAAAAAAACTGGAAACTGGCATTTACTTCTAGATAAATTCATTTCTACCTCAAGACTCCCTGAACAATTTACTTAGGGAAGGATAATGATAAGGAATATTGTCCGATTATCTTATTTTCTTCAGTTTGATGTCTGCTGATAAGAGTTTAGCCCTGATATAGTATATGTGATACAATCTAACAAAAGAAATCAATGCGCCCTTTAGAAACATTAGTCCAAGGGCTAGAAAAGCAAAGCAAAATCCATTACAAGCCTATGTCTCTTAAAATCTAGGGAGCTTTCTGACATGTCTCTTCCCAAAAGCAGAACTATTTTCTGATTGGAACGGAGTCCCTAGGGAAGAGCAAAAGTCTTGCTTCGCTGTCAGCTGCTTATAAATACCTTTAATATTACGAGAAAATAAGCAAGCATCCATGATGGTGGGAAAGCCACTCAAATCAATGCCAATGGGAAACTACTTATCTTCTGAGAAAGATAAGGTTAAGGCACTTAGTCTCTTCAAAGCTCAATGTGGTCCCTATTTTATTTCTGAATGACAATAACAAAAAAACCCCAAACAAACCCTAAAACACCCTGTGGCCTTATGTGTCAGGACTTCCATGCCCCACAGCTTGTGCTGGAAACAATGACAACTTCCTGATTTCACTCGTAGCAAATGATCTATGGCCTCGCGCTGCATTTTGCAGAGGAGAATGTTTTTAAGTCACTGCTCCCTGAACCTGTGCAGATAAGGAACACAAGGAGTGTTTCCCCAGAACACCAGGTGCAGAGAGGAGATTAACAAGGGCACATGTAAATGCATTTATCTGTAGAGGCTGACTGAAAGGGAAGACATGGAGGGGGAGACTATTTTAATTACGGACACACTTAACATAAGAGAAACTTCAATTGTCTCCCCAGGCTAGGTTTCTTGACCTGCCATCCTCCACTGTGTTGAGATTGGAACTCCTAGAATTCCTTGTCAGCTTGAGAGTGGAAGGCTAACTCATCCAGAAGGCACCAAATCAAGGAAATTTGACGTGCAGAACGCTGGCAAGACCAACACCTATCCAGTAGATATGGATGTGGAAGCACCAAGAACCTTCCTAGCTGAGAATGCTGGTCTTTGCATCTTGATATTATCTGCAGACACTTTCTTAGAGATCAGCTGGTAAAGAAGATTGTATTCTACATCTCCTCATGTGGTGTGTATGGACTTAATGCAATTAGTCAACTGCTCATTTCAATCATTTGATGAAGAGGTAGTAAAGTACTTTTCGAGTTTCACACAGTTTATTTAGTTAGGACAATATATCAAATGTTAAATGGCACTATTCAAAGGCAGAAATTGTCTGAGGTCATCCCAAGCCTTCATACATCTTGTCAACAGATGCTTGACCAGCACAAAGTAGTAGTTGTGGTCATAAAAAAGCAAAACAAAACCCCGAGTTCAATTTAATGGTAATGAAATATGCAGAGAATTTAAGTAATTAAAAACAATTGACATTATTATTTTTCATGCATGTAAATGGGGTAAAAGGAGAAAATATTACAGTTAGATGGTGAGGTGGCACAGGGGTTAGTGCAGTACTGTAGGCTACTTCAGCTGACTGCTAGCTGCAGTTCGGCAGTTCAAATCTCACCAGCTAAGATTCTCTTGATGTCAAAAATGAGGACCCAGATTGTTGGGGGCAATAGGCTGACTCTTTACACTGCTTAGGGTAAAAGCATTATGAAGCAGTCTATAAGTCTAAGTACTAAGATAGCAATTTTTGGAGAGTTCTGGAACTATATATTATCCACCAAGTAAAATGATTGGAAATATCTCAGAGCATCCCTACTGATTTAACCAAAGATCTGAGTAGCCTAGTATTGTTCTCCTATCCCCTCTGATGGACCCTGATGGGAAGCCCTGAAGTAAAAGATGGGTACCCAGTGGCCTCCTTAAACTCTTCTAATCAAAAGTATCCCCTCTCCAAACTCTGTAAAACCAAGACTTAAGTAGAATCTACAAGAACAGATTATTGAATCATGGTTGGGATATTTGAAAAAGTTCATGTGGATCAATTTAGTTCAGAATGTCTATAAATTAGGATTAAGTCTGCTGGCATTCAAAACCCTGAAGACTAAGATGTGTTCTCACCTTAGCTTTCTTTGTTAATAATGTGATAAAGAAATATATCTTCTGATCCACCTGTGGTGGAGCTGTCCTCTTTTATCAGTATTCTTTAAA